TATTTTTTGCTTAACAAGTGAGGTCCGCTGTGGTGTAGTTGTTAAAAGTGCGCACTACCATTCCGCAGGTCCTGCGCTCGAGCTAAGTTTCCGACCAACTTAAAAAAAGTATTTTCTAGTAGCGGTTGCCCCTCGGCAGGCAATGGCAACTCTCCGAGTGTATTTCTGCCATGAAAAAACAGCTTTTCATAAAAATATAAATGCCGTTCGTCGCCGTAAAACTGTGCGTCCCGCCCCTTTGTGATCCCTAAAAAGTATCCAAAAGTATCCCCTTTTTTGTTTTAAGTATCCACGTATAAATCTGAAAGAACCTACAATTTGCAATAAAATACATATTTTTCAATGAATTTGTTATACATTTAATATTTTCCTTTGCTGGTTTTAGCATTTTAAATTTAAATCATTTTTTGTTTTATTTTTAAACATTTTCTTGTATAATTCTTCAATCAAAATCAAATCAAATCATATTTGTTTGTAATACATTTAGAAATCATAATTAGGGAGTTCATAAGGTGTCGTATTGTGGTATGTCGTAAACTTTAAACGGCTAAAAATATATAAAAGGCGTTCGCAAGGTACCATAAATGTCATAATATGAAAAGTATTTGGTTGTGGTTTCAAGTTATCTAAACCTTTATTTAAGCTTTTAAAGTTTTCGACATACAACAAAACGACAGTATACAACACCTTGTGAACTCCCTAAATGTTTTCTACCATTTCTAAGTAGAGGAAATCGATTTGATTTACATATTTGTTGTTGAGATCAAATTCATCGAAAAAATTATCCATTTGGATGCGAATGGATCAAAACGGCAATTTTTTTTTATGTTGAGTTGAACCGGGCTTGAACCCGGACCCCGCGGAATGCTGCTAACACTACCATAAATACTTTTTGTTAATTGAATTATTGATTAAATATATTTAGTCAAAATGTATGCATAGATAGTATGTGGGAATATAAGAAAGGATCTTTCCATTATGCGTAGTCACCATAAAAGAAAGAATGCACATAAAAAAGGTTATGTATATGCAATAAGTACTGAACATACATACCCATGTACATACTTCTCATCGCATAATAAAACGAGAAAAGCGGGCCTTAGCTACTTTTTGTATATTTAGATGTTCATTCAATTTAGTACAATTTGTTTCAATTTACATTTGAAATTCAAAACAGAATATACAGTATATTTTGCTTAGCTGCACATCCTTCTTTGCACGAAAAACTTGTGCACGTAACCGAAAAAGGCACTTAAGCGAATTTTCTTTACTACTTCAATGAGGAAGGTATCCGAATCCCTATGAAACCAAATATTGGCGGAGCACTTACCAAGTAGAAATTACTGCAAGCGAAATTTTTACCGAATGTTATCTAATTATCTATATAATACATAATATGATACTAGTCGCACAATTTTTAAGGCAGGTATCGCCAATGTGCAGGTATGTTGAATGCATCTATCGGAGCAGTTTCCTTATAAGTGTTAAAAATAATGCTTTTGATGCGCATTTTGGGGTAGGTATCTTAAATGTGCACTTAAGCATAGAGGCAGCAAAGCAAAATATACTGTACATATAAGTAAATACATAGATACGCAGGTAGATACAAGGTTCTTTCCCGTACCCAACGCTAATGCAAGCTGATGAAAGAAGCTATTTATTCAAGTGTAGACCTCTTTCGTTTTCTCATTTATTTATAGTTAGTTACCTTTATACGAGAGTGACGTCTTTTAGAAAACAAAGAGCAATAAAGAGAAAATCGCATACAAATTCCAGCAACTTATTGTTCATGCAGAACTGCCCACAATAAAGAGGTACATATCGACCGCCATTTGTGATTTTATCGTAAGCGACAAAAGATAAATTTTACAAGAGAGGTCCTATCTCGCATTTGGTAACTGGCACATATGTAAGTTTAATACCTGTTTTTTTATTCCCCATAAACTACAAATGAACGTCTGAAAACTCCGAACTTAATAAAAAGTAGATTTTATGCCAGTTACACTAGAAATTTCTGGATTTTCTCAATTTTAGCAAGTAAATTAATCATTTAAACCGTTAGTTTTGTTATAAATAACTATTTACTGATATTTACACATGTGTAGTGGTTAGCACTTGGCAGTGCAGCTGCTTTGTGGTGGCAATATTGTTGCCAGCCAGGAAGCAATTTAAGTGAAAATGATTTTTTTCTGTCAATTTCCATATTAAATTCAAACCAAATAATAATTTTTCACTTAAATTTGTTTCGTGAAACTGCCTGCCTATAACTGCCACACAAAACACATTTTTTAAAACAAAATTTGTGTTTAAAGGGCAGATAAATTTTAAGAGCTATAGGGCTTAATAACTTATCATAACTTTACACTCATATGTTGACAAGGTTAGACCATTTATCTTAATATTTTTTTAATTTTAATTATTTGTTTATTAAAATATACATACCTAATATAGTTTTTAGCATGATACAAAAAAGAAGGTAGTTCCATTGTCACTTTTTCGTCGCCATATTAACAACCTGACAATTAAGCAGATTGTGACATTTCGTGCTACCATATCCAATATCTAAAATCCTTCAAATTTTATTATTAATTTTTTGTTTATTTAAAACACTTTATTCTTATAATCGAAATTTGAACAAGCAACGGTCTTTTGTTGGGTATGGTTCGGTTATTTGTCCAATGGTTTTGGGTTATTGTGTCCACACGCATATCCCAAATAAAAAAATGTGAACATACGCCTGCGATCAAAGGATTAAAATTTTATGTAAAATAAAGACTTAAAATTTTCAAACACTAAATTGTTAATAAATTTGGTGTGAAATATGGACTTTTTTGTAAAAAAAAATACCGTGTAGCCGGAGTTCGGCAGATTAGGACCATTTTTTCCAAGCGCGGTCGAAGGCTTCCAACGCGGAGAGGTATTCTGCGCGTAAGTCCTTTGGTTACCATAACCCGAGCCTACATTTTCTGGCAAATAGCTAGGTTTACCACATTTTCAAATGGGTGCCGAGCGGTCAGAGAGGTGAAGGGTGACTTGCCTTAAAGTTTGGACCGTTCTCTTTCTACTGGGCGGAGTCATCATGTTTTTTTCACACCCGCTCCAATATTGAACAGTAAACTATAGTTAAGGGATTCGCAAGCCACCATAAAAGTCGTATTATGAAATTTCACACCGTTAAAAAAGTATTTGGTTGTGGTTTCAAGTCCTCTAAACATTTGTCAAGCCGTTCAAAACTCTACGACACACAACAATAGGACACTTACGACACCTTGTGAACCATCTAAATATGTATTAAATTCACACCGAAATGTGTATATCAGAAACAATCATCTTCGGTATAGAAAACCGTAATAGTCCTGGCTAGATACATTGTAAAATAATCAGATGACAAAAAGACACAAAAAAGTTTGAAAAACCCTACATATACATGTATATGTATATGTTCACTAAAATTTAATTAACCTATGGGAAGTGATCATCGTATTTAGTGTAAAATTTAAACATTATTAAGATACGATTTTAATTACTTTTAAACAGTTAATGTTATTAAAACTGTTTTATACATAATCCCAAATTTATGACATAAAATCCCCTCTACTAAAAACTTAAATTGGGTACCGCCGCTTCGAATTTTTAACAATTGAGGAATTGTCAAAAATCTGCTTTTTAATCAAAAAGTTGTTTATTGAAACTACCTTCTTTTTTGTATCATGGTTTTTAGCAAAAACCATATAAATCCATGCTTCAATCTTTGTGCAAAATTAAATAAAAATTAACAAACTTTCGTAAAAATTTCGAACTTTTTAATTCGATTTTTTATAAATAGTTTGAGTAGCAGTTTTTTAGCCCATTCAATTGTAGTAAAATAAAAAGCAAGTTTGAAGTTGATTTTTGGCAATATTTTTTGTTGACGATGTCAGTCATTTTCTTCCATACAAAGTACTATTTTGGACGATTTGGTTTTTTTTTTTTTTGTACTGAGAAAACTTGCAAAATCTTCAGCAAAAAAAACTGCCAAAAATCAACCGTAAGTCCGAGCTACTTTAAACATGATTTTTACTATGCTAAAATTGAATGGGCTACAAAACTGAATACTCAAAATATTTCTAAGAAATCTAATTAAAACTTAACTAATTTAGAAGTTGACGCTAGTAATGCTCGCTAACGCTGACAAAATAAATTTTATCGAGTTTCTTAGCGTTATCTTCGAAACTACTTAAGTTTAAGGTTTTTAGGTAAAAAATTCAATTCTAAAGTAATTAGTTTTTGGCTTTTCTCTGCAAATTGCTAAAAATCCTAAAATATACATTTCACCAATAAAAAGTCTCGACGTGCTAGAAAAACAAAACAAAAATGTTCATATTTTAATTTAACATAAATACCTATGTATGTATGTATATATTCAAAAAAAATAACATAATTGTTGGAGGGGGAAAACAAAATTTAAATTTCGCAGGCCTGTGATTAGTAAACATAGAAACTAATTTTTTATGTAGTATTTGGTTTTAAATTCGATTAAGTCTTTAATGAGTAACCGACTTGTGTACAGAGCTGAATTTCGAAAAAAAAATGTATGTGTGTGTCGCACACGTGCACGCAATTGCATTCGCGTGCTAACGCCCCAACCGAATTTATTTTTGTGCATATAAAATTTGTAAACAAAGCGCACCAAACCAAAGATGCAGCAGTAGAAGAAAACGATATGTTTAGGTCACAGCTGCTGCTGTCTACTTGGGGGGGATCACAAACGAAATGAAACTATTTTTAGCATATCCTGTGCGACAATGCATCTAGGCTATGCATTGCTAGTGTAGTCAACATGCAGTCAATGGAAGTGATCGTACAAAGCGACAGTAATTTTGCGTTCAAATTGTAAAAGGAAAATGAAATAAACAAATAACTTAGAATCAAAACTAATAAAAGAATTCAAGGAATAAATAAACCACGTTGTATATAGTTAGAGTGGTATAGAAAAATAACAAACCTCAATTTACTTCGCCATGTCTTATTCGTTTGGTATGCGTGGCATTGGTCAAAGTTTCGGCATTAAACTTTGCTGCTGTCGCATTTGTACCTGTGTAAATTTTGGTTTTGTCACTTCACGTGTGGGACTTATAAAAATCCTACAACTAACCCTGGCTACTTTGTGCGAAGGGCTATTGGTGCGCTATGGAATTCCAGCAGCAGATACAATTGGACAGGCTCTGACCAGCATGCTTACAACGACCGCTTATTGCTTCACCACTACAGCCATACTAATGATATGCTATTGCTTCTCGGAGAAATCTTCAAGTCTAATTAGACAATCACTCTTTGTAGGCACTTTTTTGCTTGTTGATGGTTTTTTTTTAAGTTATTTTATTTTACATAGTATGGACATATAATTTTTCTATGCAGGAAACACTTTTCAATGCGGTTGCCTGTAGCATGTACTTCAGCTCTTCCAGCTACATGGGCTTTGCTTGTGTTGTGTGGTTGCATCCGCAATTTCTTGTGCGACCGGGTTTTTGGGCCTACCCAGCAATGACAGCGGCATATGTGAGTACAACAACAACAACAGTACAAAGAGATTTTATAGGAGGAGCTTTTGACAAAATAACTTGTTAGCTTTCGCAATTTTTGGCTCTATTTCTAGTGTTATGAATGTCAAATAACATAAAATATTTCTCTTAATTCGTGGTTAATCAGCTTTGGTTATTTTCTCAAAAATTCGTTGATATTTACATATTTTTATAAAACCACTTACAAACCTACTAACGTATTAACGGCCTAATTTTTTGTTGTTGCTCTTTTACAGTATATTGGCTATGCCGCCGGTATTTTACATGCCATTGATGCATTTTTATCTTTTAGATATTACAGAGGAAGTCGTTAGCTCAAAAGTTTCGTATGACAAATAAGTAATAATTTGTTTATTAATCTTTTATTTATCATTATCATTTATGTTTGTGTATTACATTCAAGTAATTGCATTTTGCATTTGTCTGTAGCACATTTGAGGCACTTACGAGAAACTATTAATTTTTCGTTTGTATTTTATAGAAATTAATGTAATATAAATATACATAAAAAAAAACTAAAAAATTAAGTAAATATATGGCGATTAATGTAACATAATACATAAAAAAATATTTATAAAATATAAAATACATTTTTAGTCTTCAAATAAACACATATAAAGTAAATGCGTAAACTAAATTATTTAAATAAAAAATCACCAGAATAAATATGAATGTTATTGTTGTGCTGCTATTATTGTGCCGAAAAACTATAGTCAAGGCCGTAATTTGCCAGAGCACAGCAATTTGGAAACAGCAACAATAGCTACATTAGCAACAAATTAACATAAACTAAAAAGCTATCGTTTACAGTAATTTGGTTTTGCTAAGGGATTTCCTTCATTTCCTGTTCATTTGACCTAGTCCATTTTATTAAATGCCTTAAATTTTCTAAAAAAAAAAACACCAAAATTTCATTTTTAATAATGCATTTTAAGTATATTAAATCCCACACTTACTTCAGTTTTTTGTAAGCCTGGTCCGATTCGTAGTCTGCCTTTAACAAAGCTATGCGCACCCAACGTGGTCGTTCGTGTATCACTTTGTGTATAACAAATTTCAAGCCCAAAAGCAAGTGTTCAAAAAGTATAAAGGTTATATCTGGCATTTGGGGAAATAGTTTTGAGAAAAATCCCCTGAAATAAGAGATAAAATAGGTTGTAGAAGTATACATTTTAAATTTAACTAGTTTATTAACAATTTTTAATATTCCGTTCAAATAGAAAATGTTTCTACTCACTTCACGTTTGGCTGTAAATAAAGCAGACCGCAATTGCTCAGTATTGCCATCACCGAAAGTAATTCAAAAGCCGATTGCCAAGCGCTAATGTTTTTAGCTCGCCGTCCAAATGGACGCTTGAATATATTGCATAGCTATAATTGAGATGATTAACATAACCGACGTAACATGTTCAATATGAATACACCAACCTTAAACAAATCGATATGCATCGCAAAGATGTTATTTATTAAGGCGCCGAAAGCAGCAAAAGGCGCTACAGCAGCAAACAAAACTACATAACCAAATTGTATGCACAGCTGCAGATAGTCTTCATAGGTCGATTGATATTGATCAAGTCCGGCTTCGTAGAAACATTGTTCATAGCGTGCCAAGTCCGTTACATTATTCTTTATTTCCTCATCTACTTCTTTATGCATATATTTTACGAATTTCTGACGCACTACGGCTAAGAGGGGGATGCCGATTTCTTGAGCAATGCAAACAATCTATAGTATAAATGAGAACATGAGTTTTAAAGCATATTTTGAGCTCGTAGAAATGCAAATAAGTCTGGCATACCTGGAAGATAAGTAACTGCATCATTAATTGATATTTTAATTGTTTCAAATCATGCAGCACAAATGCAATATAGAACAATGAAAAGAAATTATTGACAATTTCAAAAAGCATTAACTTATTTACGCGATGACGATCGTATTGCGAACGTGTACGATGATTCTCTTGGTCAGTCAAAAATGTGGCTAATTTCTCGTAGGCCCAAGAGAAAATAGCAATCAGTATTGATTGTACGATCACAGGAATATAGAGTAGCCAGGAGTCAGGACCTAAAAATAAGTATTTTCGATTAAATACGTTGCAATAGGAAATTGTAGTAAATAAATAATAATATTAAAGTTAGGAAAAAATGTCTCCTCAAACACATTCAACAACACAGACTCACCAAAATCAGCCAACACTTCTGCCTCTATCTGAAACTGATACAAGGCAAAGTAAGCAGCAGCAGCTACGCATATTAGCACCACAGGATAGGAGACGCAATACATTTGCAGATAGGTATAGCGCATTGGATATTGGAGCATCATTTTACCCGTTATTGGATCCGACTTTAGCACACCATGATAAGCAGAGCGCGGCTTGTCCAAACTACTCATTTCAATATTACCCCAACGATAAGAGTAACCAGAGCACTTGCGCTTCCACAATTCAAGGAAAATCTTTATGTTGAAAATTATAAATATAAAATTTTTCATATTAGTAATTTTAGGTTATATTAAAAACTAAAGCACACTCCAAACTTTATAAACTGTAGCACAGCCAAGAAAATAATAGATATATAAATAAAATAATAGCACTAGGCAGGTCAATTTATGAAGTTTCTAATGTGAAAGAAATAAAAATATATAAAAGAATAAACTACCGTTGTCCATAGCACATAAAAACTGCAAACCAATGACAAATTCACATTCCACACAAACTGCAGCATACCGAAAATTGCTGGAAATATGAGCGCCTTTGTGTAGAACTCGGTAAAGCCGAAATATAGTCCAATGCTCGATCCAAAGTAGTTGCATATGTCTTCGATCGGAAAGTTACGACGTCTCCAATCAAATGCGAATCTATCTAAATACTCCTACGGAAAAACATATATTAAGCCCAACCATGGAACAATTTTTCTCGATCTTACAATGTTGTGCAATGGAAAAAAATCCTCGACCATGCCATTTCTTATGTACGACATAATTGCCGGTTTAACGACGTCCTTTATTAGTACGGGGCCCTCACATTCGCGCACAATATCTGCTGGCGTCATACCAGGTAGCAGATAATCGGATATACAATCACAATTGAATTTTTGCATACTACCGGTTATGGTAAGTTTACTTAACTCGGCCTCATCAGCAAAACGCAGCAAAGTTTCTGTGGTGGCTGACAAATAGAGGTATTTTTCAGTTTTGCTGAAAGAGTAATACAATACAATGAATTAATAGTACATTTGAATTAATACAAATTGTTATTAATAATTTGCGCGCATTGTTTACTAAAGCTAACGAAATTAAAATTCAAATTACTTAGCCACCCAAGTTCCATTGAGGAATCTAATTCCCCATAAGGATCAGAGAAAACCTTCGAAGGGAGTAATTTGAAGTATTTTTTGCCATATATGCTGTTAATATGAAAAACATTCGGTTTTCTAAATAGGAAAAATGCAAAAATTGGCTAGCAGAGGTTAGGTGGCTTATGCTGCATTTATATGTACATACATACCTGACGACCTCGAGCGTTGTGAGTACTTTAAATTCTTGTATTATCTTTTCCACATCTTGGCAATGGCGCAATTTGGCCTTTTCCGAGAAAATTATTACAGCATAGGTCTAAAAAAAAATTGTAAAAATAACACAAAAACTAACAACTGGGTGGGGTCATTTACCTTCTCGAAATCAGGCACATCTATGGACTGCTTTTGCCTAATGCTCCGTTGCCGCCGGAACAACTGATTTTCAATAATTGAAGTAATGCGCGGACCTATAGAATATTAAAAGACAAGTTAATAATGATTTCATAATGATCCTTGATAAATTTCAGAAAAATTTGCGAATTTTAAAGTAATACACACTTTTGGCAGCTTCCGACATTTTCCACTCTTTATTAATAAATATATATGTATACGCATGTATATAATAATTTGGCCACCTCTTCACCACCAACAAGTATCACATACAAACACTTTTTTGGCAATGTACGAAAATGTAATAGAAATACTTGGAAAATACACAAAATTTATTCAACTATTTCATATGGTGTAAAAGAAATAAACAAATAAACAATAAACATGCCGTAAGAAATGTCAGAATTACTAAACACCAACAACAACAATTCGATAAGATGCCGGCATTTGTGTTTTTGTTGCGAAGGGGCGCCTTTTCGCCCGTTGGTTGCTTGGCTGCAGCCCCGCCTTGCATGCGGTCCCACTCCCAGAGCACTTCACCCTCGGGATCAAGCGGATAATTATCGGCTTCTGTATTCATTGATAACAAAATTTAATCATTTGCGTTGAAAATACTTTAGAAAAACTAATTTTAATTTACTTGGGGAATTTTGGGCGCTCCGAGGGAAAAACATCTGTGATTAATGCAACGGTGGCAACGCTGTTTTAGTGAAAATGTCAATTGATTCTTTGTTTATGTTTCTCCTTCGTTCGCTGTTATTTTTATTTTGGAAATCCCTTTTCACCGATCGCTGTGATGCAATAGAAATTGTTGTTGGCTTTTATTTAATAAATTCCGCAGGTGAAAGTGAAAATCAAAGACGAGACAAAATAAATTAAATATTTGTCTATCAAAGTAAAATAGCATAGTGTGAAATTGTTTTCAAAACTTAAGAGCAAAGTGTAAAAAACCAGTTGGTGAATGACATGGAGCTATCGATTAATGTTAGAGATCAATAGGCTAGAGAAAAATTAAAACAGGTAAGTTGCGGACATTAAAAAGACTTGTGATTTTTATTAGTTCAATGTAGTACATAAATTTAGTTAATTGTATGTGTGCCGGCTCTTTATTTTTCATGAATAACGTTCCGAACAACAACGCATCATTACATCGCATCACTGCAGCACCTAACCTCGAATGCGCGATCAGGTGTAACCGAAGCAATGGTTGAGAGCATATGAGCACATATTAAATTTCTTCAGGATTAAAATAAAAAAGTGCTAAAATAAAATGCAAGGCCTAGTTCCAAGATGGGCGGATATTCGCGTGCTTCCCTTCCGTATGACTACCTCGCAAAAGGTGAGTGGTTAATAGTTTGTTCAAAGTCTATAATAAATAATAATTGTAAATGGGTGTTTGTTCATTTTCATTCAGGTTGTTTTTTTCTCGCTCACCGCTGGCGTAGCTTTACTAGGCGTGCTTGCGCGGTTCTTACGACGTCGAAAACCGCCACGTCCGCCCCGTCGAACACGCAAATACACGGGTCGACGTGCGCGAAATAGCATGCGTAGCCCCAATGATTTGATATCCATAGCTGGTTCTAAAGCATCTGCACGTTCCGGCAGTCCTCCGGGTTCTACTGTCGCCTATTCGGATCGCATGTCCATGGCATCCGGATCTATAGGCGTTGGCGCACTTTTATCCGCTGCACAAAGTCAAACAGGTGCGATAGTTCTACACTTAACCGCCCAGCAACTCGGCGTGATGGGAATGGAAGCATTGGACACAGTAATAAATTATTGGGAGGATGCGTTAGCGGCACACAATTCTCCAGGTGGTGTTCCCGCTTTGCTAACCACTGCTGAGGAATCGGAGTTTTGTCGTGAAATACAAAATCTACTTGATATGGCCTACACATTACAAGAACAAAGTGAATTACTATTCTTGGACCAACGTTCGGTACTATTTCGGGATGAACCATCCATTGATGAGTTAGAGGAGGATGGTATGGGTCATGCGCTCGAGGACGGTAACGAAGAGGATAGACATTCGCACAGGTCGATAATGAGTCGCACAGGTTCTGATCCAAATTTCGATTCAGCTGAAAGCTATGCCTCGGCGTTAGATCAAGTTGCAGATATGCGTGATTTTGAGGAATTTGTGGACACATCTTATGAACAATATCCACTGTACAATGCGGCGCTAAAACATCACGAAGAAACGCCTATTCCTTACCGTACTATTCGCGCTGACCTGGTGCACTGTTCGAGTGATACAGAATATCTGGTTAAACTGCATTGTGTACGCTTGGCATTTCAATATTTATTCAAAGTGAGTTCTTAAATAATAAAATAGTTTCATTTATCATATCTGCGTGTTTACAGGATCCCTCAATCGGCCAATGGGTTTGCGATACGGGTCGCCAAATACTCACCGATCTGCTCTGTCTAGGCGATAAAGATACCAAAGAGTTTCTGGTGGGCTACGAGGATATGATCAACTATTTGCAGAATCCCAATAATTGGGATGAAATACAAAAAGAATTGGAAGCGCGTAATGTGAAAGCAATGACTTTTTATGACATATGCCTAGACTTTATTGTGTTGGACTCATTTCGGGATTTAGACGCGCCACCCGCAAGCGTTACAGCGGTCGTACAAAATCGATTTCTTTCGAACGGATTCAAAGAAATGGTAAGCAGAACAATGCGATTGCATTATGCTGCTACAGCAACAATAAAATAAACATATATTTGCCCACACGTGTCAATAAAGTGTAACGAAAGGAGTTCGTTGCCTTTTTGCAAATGTATGCTTGTTTGCCAATTGGGTCTTATTCTGTTGCATACTTTTAGGCGCTGTTTTAATTTATTACTTGATCTCTTTCCTCATAGGCACTAAGCACAGCAGTTTGGTCTGTACTAAAAGCTAAACAGCATGGACTCAAGTACCCGAATGGCTTTATGGCTCACTTCTATAACATTTCAGAGCAATTATCACCCTTAATGGCCTGGGGTTTCTTTGGACCCGATGAAAATTTGCGTGACATTTGCCATTACTTCCGTGATCAAATGCTCGGCTTTTTAGCAGATATTTTCAGTTTTCAAAGCAGTCGTTACACAACTGTCGAGGAGTTTGCCGAAGATATACTGCAGCATATGAAGACACGTGTAAACAATATTGGCGCGAAATTTTGTCAGTAGAAAGAAGAAGCTGTAAAGTTTTAGTTAAGAATTTTAGTTTTGCACTGAACAATTTATTTTATTGCAACGGCTATTTTAATATAGAGTAACAAAATTTGAACAACTCTTTTTATACATAGTCCATAGTTTGGGTGCATTCCAAAACGTCAAAATACAAAGCATCAGTTTAGTTGAAAACTAGCATACATACAAATTGCGTTAAACCGAGAAGAGTGAAGAGTGTCTGTGACCACGTTAGTGTGTTCTTCACCTTGTAATTTATATGTATTATTAAAGGGTGGTTTGATTAAGCGCAAGCATACGTACATATATACATTTATATGTATACTAGGTACTCACTGTATGTCTAAGATGCTCTTTTTTTTCTAGGTTATAGGACGAAATTTTTGTTACAAGTCTATATATAAATAAATTCTAAACTTATACTTTACTAAATTCTAAACTTATTATTGAGACGCGAAAGAAGTTTTTGTTGCTAAGCTAATTGAATTTGTTTTATTTTTTATGCGAAGGAGGACAATGAAAATTTTTCAATTATTGATTTATTTAGTATAAAAAGTATAGTTATAAGTATTGTTATTACATACTACAGATTAAAAACAAAAAATGCGAAATGTGGCAAAAAATGCTTTTTTTGTATTCAAATTTGTATGGATTAGCATTGTTTTGGTGGTAGGTACATTTTCATTGAATATTAGGAATTAAAACACTCTGTACCATTGTTTTGTTGGTAGGTACATTTTCGTTGAAATTTTTTGTAATCAAGTGCATACATACTCGTTAGAAAGCACCAATAATTTAACTAAAGTTTGCAACAGGTATATCCATAAATATGGAGTTTAAAAAAAATTATTCTTCAATTATTATTACCAAGTAATAAAAGCATTTAAAATCTTTCCGATTGTTCTCTACTTTCTACGTCAGATTTAAATATTTGCTTTAATTTATACTTAAAATAAAATAGTTAATATGCCAATTTCTTTATGTACAATTTAAAAATCCAATTTCTTTAATAAATAAAACAATTAATTTACTCAAATTAAATAATCCTGGAAACCACTGTAAAATCTTGCATTGGAAACAAAGAAACAAGTCAAAGTGGCTGTAAAAATAATTGTCAAAAAAGTGAGTTAACACAAAACTTGTTCGATTTATGAAAATACACATATACGATAAATTTTTAAGAAAAAATTGCGTTAAAAATGAAATGTCTTTCAGTGAAAGAAATAGCCTCCATTCTACAGATTGCGGTTGCGGTATGGTATTCACTGTGTTAATGTAGGGAAGAACAATGGGCTGAAAACGATTATCTCATTATCACAGGTACTCTGCTTGCCTGCCGTGCTGCTATTCTCGATGGTCATATCCTTTCCGGATGACATGAAATTGTTCATGTATCAGTGCTCGCTAACTACAACAATGGTGCTCTGTCTGATATTCGGTTGCAGTACATGGTTTTACAATTCAAACTATCCGAAAACGCGTCTACATGTCCGCATACTGGTATTTGTTGGCGAAACGACATTCATGATTGATTTATTCAGTTAACATTTCTATTGTATTTTTTTCAGATCGTTATTGTATTATGGATTATGTTTGTTTTGGGCGTCGCAACAGCGGTTTTATTCGATTTGCAATATTCCGGAGAACTTATATACGGTTTGTTCGAGCCTGACATGTTTGATACTATCGATTTGGTTTTCCTTTATATAGGCATGATTTTAGGGGCTTTGGCGCATCTAATACTCTTAATTGTTAATATAATATTAACTGTAGGTGTAATTCGAAGAGGACGGAAATGAAAATAAATTAAAACAGAGTGTAATGTTTGTATGTGAATCAATAGTGATGTTTAATTATGACTAGAGGTCGGATTTGTATGCAAAAAAAAGCCTTAAAATATGTGCCATCATAACTATACATGATTCAATAATAATAATTCATGATAACTATAAACAAAATACAGTCGGCGTTAAAAAATATGAATACCCCGACGTTTTGCCCATTTTATTTATGTTTTCCATACCAAATTTTTTTCTTAATTTTGTATAAAAATATAATTCATTCAACAGCAAAAACAACAAGAATTATTTTAAATTAACTATATTTTTGTAAAAAAAATAAGTAAAATTTTGTATGGAAAATATAAACAAATAAAATCGTCAAAACTTTGGGTATTCATATTTTTTACGCTGACTATATAAATTGATAAACACTTTGCTTATAGTTATTATGAGTACATATTTTTAGGCCTATTTTTTAACATGAGAATCCAAGCTCTAATTATGACCAATTATACGGACCCTATAATCATGCATATGGGTATTTTCATAGGTCACATACGTGACAGTCTTACGTTTCAATGATAAACAAGAAAACATATTTGTGTTCTTTTACTTTTTTTTTACCCTTGTATATCACATAATTAGCTCTATATTTAACCGAAAAATTAAAACAATCGAACCGCATGGTCCTTAAATATACACAATTAAAGAGAGTGAAGTTGATTTCTTTTTTTCTTACAAAATCTCAAAACTGCGAATTGTGGATGCCTCTTTTCATGAAACTTGTAACATCGTCGACCGTATGCCAAAAACATGAATGTGTAAAAATTAAAATTTTGGGAAATCAAGTTTGAAAGTTTTTTTTACCGGACTTATGTAACTCTACATTTATGCAATTGAAATTGTAAAATACATACATACACTGTCGGAACAAAGTATTGGCACAGCAAATTTTTCACAATATATGCAAAAATTTGTATTCTAATATTTTTCCGCCAATTATTATAAAAATATAGTTTATTCCACAACAAAAAACATAAAAATGTAATTCCTAAACTTTACGCAAAACTCGCGAAAATTCAGCAAATTTTCAACTTTTTAATCAGATTTTTTAGAATTTTTTTGAGTGTGCAGATTTGTAGCCCAATCAATTTTATTATAATAAAGTGTAGGTTTTAAGTAGCTAGTAATTACCGTTGATTTTTAGGCAATTTTTTTCACGCAGTCTTCTATACAAAAAATTTTTTCGAAAATAATTCATATGGGAAATTTGCAAAACACCTTCAACAAAAAAAATCTCAAAAATCAATGCGATTTTTGACTAACTCCGAACTTGCATTAATGGGCTCATCACGTCACCTTACGTGTACCTTACGAACCAATTCAGCAATTTTACTATGAAGTACGGCAAATGAAAGCTAACAAAATTCTGATGGTTTCTGAGAAATTAATTAATAATTCCAGATCTTTTGTTTTTTTAACGAAAGAATTAAAACAATTCAAACTTTTAACACAGAAAAAATTAAAAAAATTACAAATCGGTTTAAATTTTTTAAATTGTGTTAAAGCTTGAATTGTTAAAAAAATCAAGGTACTAATGAATAAAATCGTTGAGCAAATAACAAAATGTACGAACATTTTTTGTAAGAAAAATTAACCGGAAATAATGTTACTCATACGCCTTGTACACTCATTACTGCTCATCTTTCATACAAAAAATCCTTACGCATTTTCATTCGACCACTCATTCCTTTTTTTAACTGAATAACGGCAAATTGCAAATATCTCCAAATCTTATCCACAGATTTCTCGGTTTTCGGAACCAGCGAGCAATAGTGGCATCCATTGAACATTTCTGCTGTAAACCAGTGTAATTATTAACTTCAATATGGTTGTGCGAAAATAGCTAAAAAAAAACAACAACACAAAATCGATTTAATATTTCACTCACAAACAATGACTTTGATCACATTTCGTTGGTTAAAAAAAAACTAAAACTGTTATTTCGTGTTAAGTTTTCTTTATCAAATACGAAAAATGACTTTTTGCCACAAAAAATGTTTAAATTTTTGGCATAAAAAAAAATATTTTGGGTTTTAAACTTACTTCATTCGTTCCCAAACGTTTGAATTTGATACCACCAAAGAAAAATAAACTTTGAGAAGCTTTTATTCGAAAATTACATAAAAATACATTTTACACAAAATATTTATTTCTGTTAGAATATCGTATAATAAAATGTATAATGGACGAGTATTTGTAAAAATCATAAAAAAATTTTCATTTGCACTTACAATTAATATATGTATGTATATTACTTAATTGTACGAGTACATTAAAAAGAAAAAATGTGTATAGTTAGTTAATATGTTCGTGTATGTGTATTTGGTTTTTCGAATTCAATCGCTTTTCACTTTAGCACAGACTGCGTATGGCTATAAAAATGCTAATTTTTTCCAAGTTGTGTTTTTTACTTAGAACTTAAATACAACTACAAAATTATTTTAACTTAATTTACCATCATAAAAGACGATTTCCTGCAATGAACACCTTTGGAAACGTCACCACATAGGGGAAGTTCAGTTTCTTGTGGTCAGCTCGGCGAGATTAGATGCCACGATATGATCGGTGAGCCAAGAACGCGCTGATAAAGTAGAGAACCGCGTTGACGAGACCCATAATGCCGGCAGCCATGTAAGTTTCGTACTGCTTACCGTACCTAAAATGTCTGTCGTTCAATTCTATTACGAGGAGCACTGAGGCGATGAGCAGCAAAATGGCCGCAACGCTATGATAAATGAGTTCCTGATATGGAGAAAAGATTGGTCGTTATTAGTTAGGTCCTATACATTACATAGGCAAACGTGTTAATTACGAGTACTCACATAGATGGTTTTGGATATGATACCACCCGTACTAAGCGACGTTAAACATGCTAACAATAGGCAAAATGTTCCTATCAAGAATGTTGTAGCCATGAGGAACATGAAGATTTCATTCGACGTACCGGTTCTGTTGAAGTAATAGCTGAAGATGCCAACTATGGCGGCTCCAATAAGCTGTAATACAATAAAAATAAACATAACTTTGAAAAATATATATACATATGTGTAAATATGCACCGAACAGTGGGCCAAATATAGTAAAGCTGCGGTTTTAGTTTTTCACTCTGACGTCAGGATTTTTTTTAAAGAACTTTGAAAATTTTAAGAAATGATAAATTTAAAAAATTATTTTAAAAAAATCAGGGTATCCAATTAGAGAGAAAATTCTGTAGAATTGAAAAACATTGAAGCATTTTAGTTTACAAGGACAAATAAGTATTGAAAATGCGCATTAAAGCAATTTTATTTTTTTAAGTTAATAAAGTTAAGAGTACGAAATTCAAGGATGTGGTGGGGTGTATATTAGTCCTTATTATTCAAGGATAAAATCTTAAAAGGAGCTTTCCCATACACATTCGTCCTTATGCACCGAAAAATTTAATATTTTTTAATTTTGCAGGATTTTCTCATTTGTTTGATACCCACATTGTTATTCTACATCGCACTGAACTTTTTTAATAATTTTTGTAATCATATTTTCGAAATTTCCAAATCCTTTAAAAAAATCCTAACGTCTGAGTGAAAAATTAAAAACGCAGTTTTACTATTTTTTGCCCATATTTTCGCGAATTTATCAAGTTTTTCGTGTGTAAAATTAATATCTTGTGTTTACCTAGATATTAAACGTTTACAAGCGACTAAATTTTAACTTTAATTTTTAATCGGAAAAATAAAATTCAAGCTTTAACTTTTATTTCTGATCGGTAAAATAAAAGTCAAAGTTGAACTGTTATTTTATACTAAAAAAATTAGAGGCAAATTTTATGTAACTGTTATCTTATGCTGGATTTCCGCTGGATATTAATGCAAAAATTTTAATGACAACGTTGGGCATTAAAAAATAATCGTGTCATTACGGTAAAAAAAAAACAGTTGTTAAGTTCATTTCCACATGGCATTTTTTGAATGGCACCAATTTTATGTAATTTCAATGCCCAGAGGAAATTCGGCATAATACCGAATTTCCACTAGGCATTAAATTACACAAATTACATTTTTAAATGGCACACGTCATTTGAATGCCTAGTAGAAATTTGGCATTAGATTGAAAAAATAAGTCAAATTTTAATTGTTATTCCTGACTGAAAAAATAAAAGTAAAAACATAACAATAAATTGTAGACTTTTTTGAAAAAAAGAAATCAAAAAAACTTACACCATTCAAGATTATTATTCCTTAGCTAACAAGCATCACATTGCTATATTCAAATGTCAAAATAGGATATACTACCTTGGAGACAAATTTTTTCCGTCTGACTGTTTGAACTAAAATTTCGAAAAATAACTGTTATTTTTGATCCATGGTTGTACCCGAAACCCCAAGAAAGGCCTTTTGTTGTTAAATATATTTGCATTTAAATCAATTTTATTTTTAATTGTTTTAAATGCTCCTCTGCGGCCATCAACTTCAAAATTAAAAGCAAATCGGTTAAAATCGCCAATATGGGAGAGCAGAGAAATTACTTCTCTATGCTCAACCAGACTTTCAGAAACACTTGTTCATCAATTCCCCGAAAATGTTTTACAACACTTACCAGCTCGAAAAGTTTCAATAATCCCGGAAATGTCTTCAAGTATCCAGTATTAAGCACAATATAGGATGTGCTCGTGGTGCTGGTGGTCGTTCTGGTGATTGTCACTGAGTGAGACATTTTGAAATGCTTTGCTCAATTCCTTGGTAGTGCTGAGAAAGTTTCTGATCAGTTGCTGCAAATGAAGAGAGAAGAAAAAAATTTATAAATTTAATATTTCAACTAGCAATCCCCGGCGGGCGTTGAAATCCAATAGTTTTTTTTTATTTTCCGTAATGCTAACGGCTAAACGATAGGGGTATTCACCTCTTTTTAGTGTAAAAGAAATAGACTCGATACTGACACACTTAAAAAATAAAATTTTGCATTGAAAAATTCAAATCAGGAAATTGTTTGCTGTACGTAAATATGTATGCTAATAAAATACAACGACAAATACATATATGTATGTGATTTGTATTAACCTTCAAAATTAGCCATCAAATTGATAGCCTTTAAAAAAATTTAATTAAAATTTCAAATCTGACCTACACTCGTCCTTTTCGACAGCAACGTGAAATTATTACTTTGCGGAATCATTAAGGATGCAATAATATTCAACATCTTTTGCAAGTGCACTCAAATTATATTGATACATACATACATATGTATATATATTTGTGCATGTAAAATTAGTTTTCGAATATGTATACAAATATTTTTCGCACACCCACGAAAAAAACTAAAAGTACTATGTTTACTATGTATGTAGGTACATATATATTTTTTGAGTAAATACTAAAAATATTTTTAATTGATTTTGGCGAACGCTAAGTGAGACAAGCAAAAATTCATACACATACATATATACATACGTATCCACATACATACATGCATACGTACATACATACATATGTACATATATATCTGCATATACATATAGTGGTCCACGAAATAATATAAGTGCGATGATTTGACCAGTTTTGACTATTCTATTCTTTTGTTTATTTGATGTTTATTATTTTTTTTATAAAAGTCTAGCTGGGTATACAACACCATATAAATTAATATTTCAAACTTTGTATCAGCTGCAACAACAAGAAATTCTGGAGTTCAAAAAGTCCCTGACCTATTTTTATTACATAATTTTGTACATACATACACATGTATTTAAATATTTGCGTTAAGTGCATATGTTATAATTAATACACTGCTCAATGCCGGTCCTCCCCAATCGGCCGGCTTTCTCTGATAACAGCAAGGCAGCATTCTCTATGTACATATGTAGGTCGAGAGATCAAAGAATGGGCGCGTAGACACATAAAGTGTGGGAGGGCGAAATCGTATGTAGATGTGTATTTTTATACATGGAAACTGACATCATTCAACCCTTTTAATAACTGTAAAAAATTTTGTATTTCCACTTAATAATATTGATTCATTTTTTTATCAGCAAACCGAGAAAAAAAGCAACAAAGATAAGGAGTACATATGTATGTGCATACATAAATACATAGAGGCACAAAATTAATAAGAAATTCTTCGTTAATTGGCAGGTTTTTGCTTTCGCAAAAAATTAGCATTTTGATAAGAGAACCCATTAACATTTGCGAAGCAATTCTTGTTTACAAAGAATGTAATCAAAAAGGAATGTTTAAGCAATTTTAGTTTTGTAAACGCTATGCCATTTGAAAAGTTAGATGAGTCACCACGAATGGAGCCTCATATATACGTATGTATGTGCATTAGGGTGATCCAAAACAAGTAAAGTCGGAATTTTTATACTCTCACCCCCTAGGATTGTTATATGCCGGAAAAATATACCCCCATTTTTTATTTTGAAATCAAAAAATATTTAGAGGTCGCGTTTTGAATGCATTTTATATGGGAAAAAACAACTTTTTGTAGAAATGGTAGCGAATTCTTGAAAATGATTCTGTGCAGGAGACTTCCAATAATAATACCCAATTGTTTATTTCTGGGGGTTTTAGCCTACCTATAAAATATAGTTACTACGAAAAATTTTTTAAATAAATAGTTTGGTATTATTAATGAGAATCTCCTGAAGAGAAGCAGAGTTTTCCGATCGAATTATATTGCTTTTCAAGAATTCTAGACGTCCATTCTAAGCCGGCAATGGAGGATATGCTTTCTGACGACCACAATACCAAATATGAACGTGAATTGTGGTGAAAACTTTGTACCAAATATTTGAATAAGGAAATAAATTTGGGCGGGTCTGCTAGTATAAAATACATGGGAAACTTAAGCGCTTTGAGCGACCTGTAAATATTTTTTGATTTCAAAATAAAAAATAGGGGTGCATTTTTTTCCGGTACAGAACAATCCTAGGGAGTGAGAGCATAAAAATTCCGACTTTACGTTTTCACATACATTTTTTTGGGGCCACCCTAATGTACAAATATACATATGTACGTGCGTATAAATGAATCGCGGTTAAAACGTGACATGTTTACTCTATAATATCTTCCGTTGCTATTTACGGTATATGTTACCTTTCAAAAATATTTTTGCTTTATTATTTATTGCTGTCCAACCGACTAAACATTTTCGGTGCTTTTTGATACGCAAATTGAATAAACAAGTCACATAAATGCATGCATACATATGTATGGAGCACATGCCAAAAATACATAGGTATATGATCCGATATACCATATATATACATATATGCATACTTGTATGTATAGTACCCTCCAGGTATTCGCTGTTTTATCGCGCATTCTTCGCTATTGCTATTTATTAATTGTTGTGATTCTTCAACGCACACCGCGTCAACAAGTTGGACTCGCTATTCCATTGTAAATTCAAACAAACAAACATATGTATTTATTTGTTGTGTGCATGTAATATTGTATATAAGAACGTAAATACGTATGAACACTGGAGTACAGGCATCAGTGAAATACTTATGTATGTACGTTTTTGAATTCGGGTTATGAGGTAATCGCAAAAAAATGATCTCATCAATGGAATGCCATGAATACTATGTTTTTCGTTCTCACTTTTTATTCCGTGCTTTTTTTTTTATTCGATTAACCATGAACGGGGCGCGGACATTGAATAAACCAACTCGTTGTTTATATATTTACATAGGTCTGTAAATGTACGGCATTTATATTTATGTAAATATATATGTACCTATGTATATACATACATGTATGCGAGAAAATGTGTTGTGTCTCTGGCCGCGAAAAGGTCGTGTTTTAATCATTAAAACTTTTAGCCACAAGAGCCTATCTGACCAACTGATTGACTGTCTTACTAATTAGCCTACTTGACCTACTTGAGGAAGGGTAGACATCTTTCGAGTAGACCAAAAAAATAAGTGAGTGCGAGGAGCACAAAGTGTTGACAGGCAGGAATGCGGCTCGAAAATTCTATTAGCAAATGGCATTTGATGGAGAATAATCGGCCTGAGTAATAAAAAAAATTTAAAAAAATATATTCTTATAATGAAATCTACTCCTATTTAGTATATTCAGTTAGAAATCCATTGACGAGTTTTTAAGAAAATAAGTTTTTTTTTGGTTATTTTGAGAAATTTTCAGACTTCCTTTAACGTGGTATTGAATTTGGCGTATTCGCGCCAAGCGACGATATGTTTTCGTTTATTGAAATCTTTTTCCACGCCACTTAGATATATTTACGATGATATTAAGTAAATATTTTTGTCTATAAATAATTGTAGGCTGTCCGACGAAAATAGATAGGACATGGCGTTTTAAGGACTATTTAGTTTCTCATTTTTATTGTTGCTGTTTCCGACAGGGGGAAATATGACAATTTGGCATTAAAAAAAAACTTTCAAAGTATTTTATAGTTTAAATGTTAAGACCGGCATTTTGAAATGCCAATAAAATTACAAGTCTCTATTCCTATGATAATCGATTGTAGAACGATAAGTAAAAGCCATTTCTAATTTTAGTTCAACTTGTAAAAATCTTATCAATACCAAACTCATTTTTTCTAAAATTTGTCATTATGCAGAATTTTTTTCCGTAGAGTTAAATATTCCAGTAGGTATGTCTTCTATATGTATATATGTAAGTGCATGCATTAAAAGTTCGAATATCTATGTATTTGTAATAACATTTAGCAACATACATAGATATTAGAAGAAATCTATTTCAAGCGCTTCGGTGACGCTTTAATATTTCATGCAGTCATTGGTGACGTCAAAGTGTACCTACATACATACATACATACATATGTATGTAGATTAGACTGTTTCAAATAAAACGAATGTTTTTTCTTTCGGTTACATTTCAAAATTTCGTTGTCGGCAATAAAAAAAAAATAATATCGGCAAATTTTCAGCCCTCTATCTTCATTTTTTAGTTAGTGCTCGCAAAAGTAAGAATTTATTATGAAAAAATGTTGTTCCGCAACTTTTTTTTTTAATGCAATTAAATGTATCAAATAAAAGAAAACCCTGAATGTAGTTTTGTAGGAAATTAAATTCTCTACAAAGATAGTCTTACATCAAATTTCGGTTTCTGAGCCGACGGTGAAGATTACAATAACTAGGTCATCGGGAAGTTGATCAAAAATTGATTGCAAGATTATCCCCTAACAAACATACTAAAATAAATATGTACATACATACACAGCAAGTTAAATAAAAGCTTGTATGTAAAAAGAAAAGTTGCAGAACAAATTTGTTCATTGAAAATTCTTTTTTTTTGCGAGCACTAACTGAAAATTGGAGATATAGGGCCGAAATTTTCCGACATTATTTTTTTGCAAGAAAAAAAATATTCGTTTTATTTGACACAGTCTAATGTACATAGATGATCGGCTCGCCGATTTGGATTGCGCGAGTTTTTGCCTTGGCGCACTCTTCTATTTTTTTAGTTTCCGCCAAAGCAAAAACTCGTAAACACTCAAATGCACCGAAATATGTGAATGCA